CTATGACTGATAACCTCTCTGAGACACATAGGGTATGTCTGCGCTGAAGCTGCACTTTCCAGCTCGAGGAGACATGCCTGCACCTGAACAAGCTTGCGCACTAAAAGTAGACATTTAGCTGTGGCAGTGTGAGTGGCGGGAGGGGCTAGCTGCCCTAGTGTGTGCCTAGGGACTTGGAAGGGACTGTACTCAGGGCAGCTAGCCACGCCCATGGCAGAGGCAGCCCCAGCTACACTTCTATTTTTAGCATGCTAGCTCTACCAGAGCTAGCCTGAGTATGTTGTTAATATCCCCTAGGGGAGGCTGCAGAGCAGTATGCTGCAAACAAGTTCTGGAAAGGCTGACTTGGTTAGGAAATGCTGAGTGCAGTTTCAAAGCTATTGCATGCATTGGGGTAGTGTGGTGACACCTGACAAGCTGAAGGGGAAATCAGCTTCACAGTGAAATCCCCACCCGCTTTTGCTAAAGCTGGCCTAGGAGCTCAGAGCCAGAGGGGTGTGCTCTAGAGCAGGGTGTCCGGGCTGGAGAGAGATTTAGGGTCTCTCACTGTCTGGCGACTCAGATCCACTGCTAGCTAGTTGAGGCCACCAAGGGTATGTCTATACTGCAATAAAACACCAGTGGTTGGCTTGTGTCAGCTGACTTGGGCTCGCAGCGCTCAGGCTGTGGAGCTATAAAATTGTAGTGTAGATGTTCGGGGACAGGCTGGAGCCCAGGCTCTGGGACCCTGCAGGGGGAGCGGGGTCCCCGAACCAAGTTCTGCAGCCCAAGCCCTGTACGCCCAAATCAGCTGAGACTGGCCAGCTGCAGGTGTTTTATTGCAGTGTAGACAAACCCTAACTCTAAGGGGCTGTGTGGTAGCTGAGGATTGTCAGAGCACTATCATACTTCAGCCATGCCCCCCACAGCAGTGGCCACGGTCGGTGTGTGGTGTAGGAATGGCTCTGCCTGCTCTGTGCCAGCTTCAAATGCCTCTATGGGAGGAATCCTCCGATAGCAGGTCTGGGTGCTCTCCAGCCCCTTTGTGCCACCAGCTTGGTGAAAACAGGCTGAATTACAATGTAGAGCCTGGCCCCTTATGTTTCACAAGCAAGTAGTGTAATGCTTTTTATCCATATTAACTACTATCTTTCTGTAGGGCAGGGAAGGTCAGTATTGTAGACTGTGACATAAGGGGAGCATGAAATATAGTTCCCCTGTCAGTATCATGTTTCAAACATAATAAAAGACTGGTGAATAGTTTTCAAATGTGTTTGCTTCTGCATAAAGGGTAACATATTCTCAAGCTCCTACGTGAGTATCTCATTTTCAAAAATGACTTAGGTAAAAAGTTCTCTTACAACTACAGGCTGAAGGAACAAAGATATTTTGGCCAAAATTTTCAAGCCTAGGGTTTCAACCCATTCGAAGGCACTAAAACGTAAGTATCCTGATTTTGAAATTTTCTAATTTCCATTGCAAGTTAGGAGCCTAGAAACCTTTGAGGATCTGGGCCTGAGTATTCACAACTCCCGTCAAAGAGAATGGGAGCTGTAGATGCTTAGCACTCTTAGCCATCAGCTTGCTTTACTTAGGTGCCTACTTGCGGATTTAAGAGCCCAACTTTAGGCACCCAGGTTTGAAAATGTTCACAGATTCATGTTAGATTTATAGACTGGAAGAGACCATTTTGATCAGATAATCTGCATAACACAGCCATAGAACATTGGCCTTCATCTTTAGCACAGTCCAAGGTTGTTGCTGTGTGAGCAAGATCAAATGCTGCTCTGAACGTTACCCACTACAACTACCCTGCATACATTTATTTATAGCAGTTTAATTTGTGGAGCAATGTATGGACATGAGATTGTGGTTTCTTGATGAAAATATTTGAGCATGTTTACAGCTTTCAGATCTTTTATCAAGCTCTGAGTTGAGTTTTTGGTTATTCAAGACCTGATTCTGCTCTCTCTCCCACACAGGTCTGAATCAGCACTGACTCCACTGAAGTAATGGAGTCACACAGGTGCAAAAGTGATGTAAATCAGGTCAGAGTCAGGCCCATCATGTTTTATCTACCACATTGCAACATGTGTCACAAACAGCATAGGAAACTAGTGAGCACATATCAGATCTGCCATTGCATTCACTTGAAGAGAGAAGCATGATGAAATTGCTCCAAATTGAGACGCTAATTCTGAAGAGGTGGACCTGGATTATGGATTGGGGCTGGATTTCTAGCAGGTTCAAAGTCTGAGGGTGTTAAGATTTGGAGTTCTGGCTCAGGCTGTCCTAGGTTTTTCAACCCTGTACTGATTGTTGTCACAGTAAGCACATGATTTAGTGTGTGTACCAAACTCTGTGTTATACTGCACTGCTCCTTGTATTGCATGCCCAGAAATGGATACAAATAAAATATGTCCTCCCTCACCTATGAAAAGTCAATAATTTGACCTGGAAGTTCAAGGAATTTATGGAAGTTTCCACTGATTTCAAGGGCTTCTTGATGTTTGCATGGTAAAGAGAGAGAGAAAAAAAGATTCAGAACAAATTGTACAAACTATATCCCTGATTCCACTCCCTCCAATTTTTTTTTTAAAAACCACCCAAATCTTTCCATTCCTCTTTATTGTTATATATTTTAAAATGCCGGTGATGAAAGAGGAACTTAGCATGCTAGTTATATCCCTCATTTTCTAATACTCCCTGTCAGACACGAGGGTCAGGGTTTGTTCTTAGCTGAGGGCCTGAACCCAGATCCTGCAAGCACATGAGTGACTTTACATGCACGAATAACCCCACTGAGTTCAGAATGTGCGTGGCTACTCATGTGCATAAGTGTTTGCAGAATCAGGGCCTTGGACAGCACAGTAACAATATGGTGAAACCAGTGGTTGCCTCCATCTCTGTGTTGATAAAGCAACTGAAAGCTGCTGGCTTAGTTAAGTCCCAGCACGCAAAGACTGCAGACCTCTCCATGTGGTTTGGCTAGAGGTACTGAGACAGCAATGGGAAGTTGGAAAAGGGAAGGCTAGGTGGGTAAAATCAGCAGATGGCACATTCCTGACGACTCCGTGCTGCCAGATGTTATCTTGTTCTTCAGTTCTCCCATCCTTGAGGCTGTTGGGTGGATTCCAGTCTGCCCTCCGTGGGTCCTCTGGTTGTTTCCACTTGACGCCTTCTTCGGGGGATGGACACTGGATTCTTAGCCTGGCACCTTCCTGATCATTCATTTATTATCCACACCAAGCATCCATCCACATACATCCTCTATCTCTATTTTAATCACAATTTTTAACAAAGCGAGATGAATACAACGAAAGGGCGAGTAGTCTCTGGGTGCTGTTTCTGTTGTTACAAAGTATCGCTTTGAGTCTCTTTCTGTGTGAGTAGTTGTTGTTACAAAGTATTGCTTTGAGAACAGACTCTGTCTTAGGATGTACTAACACAATTAGCAGCTTGCAAGTTTCATACAGAGAGGGAGAGAAACAGTAAAAATAAGAGACCAAAAACCAAGAGACCTCTTAATTAGTAATACCCTGGAATTTAAACTATGGGGAATCAAATTCATTTGTGATTTTAATACAGAACTTCTTTAATATGATCCAACATAACAAAATGGGAAGGAAAGGCAGCTTCTGAGTGGCAACAAAGGGAGAACCGATCCCTGGTAACTGATGAGACACAAGCCAGGAGCTAACTAAACATGCAGTGACATCTTTCAAATGAGCACTGACTCCATAGGAAGATGCTGCACACAATGCTGTCCTCACTAAGAGTTTTCCAAAAAAATTCCTGGCGTTGGTAACACAAGTTCAGGTTCCATAGTCCTAGCTGTGCTGTGGAGCTTAGCGTGGGGGGCTTTCTGGCAGTTGTGTTCAACACTGCATTGATTAGATGAGAGTGACCGTTGGAGCTGGCAAGCTGGCTCCACTAGGGCTCCCCATGTTGCTAACACCCATGGAACCGATGTGGTGTTCACAGTGATGAGAATGGTTTGTGAAAGTTCTCCAGTGCAGAACAAGCTAATGGTAAACAAACCATTGATGTTTTCTGTGCTGGTGTGTGTAGAATGCTTAGATACTCTGGAGATAGAGGTCTTCGAAATATGATGGGTGAATAGGCAGATGGGCAGACAGAGGGACAGATAGAACTAGCAGTGCAGTCCCTGCTATATGCAGTGACTTTTAGAAACAAATGTTAACCAGGATATTTATGGGAAGATATTTCATTTGCAAGAGAGATGCGTCCAAACTACAATTTCAAATCCGAAGCCATCTGATCAGTTTGGGGATGAGATTCAGTTCCTTGGTCCCAAACCAGCCCCATCTCTTTTGGTTCTGGCTTGGCACCTTTTTTTCAGTTGGGTCCATAAGCGACCAACGGTGTCAAAAATCTCTCAGGAACAGCTGATCTTGTGAGATATCCTCTCTCTTAGGCTGAACTATTGCTCTCTGCCAGTCTATGTCTCTTTCATCTATTTCCCTTCCCAAGTGCATTCCCCATAGCTCCGCTCATGTTCTGCACCCTGAGTCCACATTGCCAGCTTTGTCACAGTGTAGCCACGGGCAGAATCCTGATTAACTAAGTGGGCTTACAGGCAACCCAAGCTAATCTGGCCATTTAAACAGTTAAAGTAAATGTCCCCTTCTAAAAGCAAGAGGCTGTCGGGCGAGCCCCTGGAGTTCCTTTATGAGCCAGCAGTGAACAGCCTCCCACAAGGTGTCATTAGCTCAAATACAAGAAATGTGGCCTGGTTACCAGTTCTGCTGATGCCTTGGGGCCTATTCTAATCTGCAAGGAATTCAGTCTGAAAGTGCATCTGGACAGTTTGCACGGACCCTGTCCAGCTTTGCTTTAGCAGCAGTTTGTGAGCTTTGCACCCTGTGAGAGGGACAAAGCCAGGAGCTGCTGCTGCTGCATTTCACAACTCTGACATGTTGTCACTCACATCCAGACATTTCCTGTTATCTAACCTCAGCCTTATCTTCCCCATTTTCAGCTTCCTCTTGAAGGAGGAGAGGCCCCTTCAAAAACGAGCCGCCTTCCTGGGCTGAGCCCCACTGCTCTGCTTCTGCTTTGCTCCCTGGGTGCCCCCAGCAGGCCCCGCATGCCTGACCCAGCACCACTCCACTTCTTGCCCCGTGAGAGTGCAGCTACAGGTATGGTTTGTACCCACTGGCACATCTGCTTGGCTTTACTCTCTTGTACGCTGCTGAAATGGGTGGCAGAGGGGAGAAGGGATGGAGTTTCAAATGGGACACTTGTCTCATGCCTCCAAAGGGCCTGCTACCTCTCCTTTGAGTTGGGTACAGCTAGGGAGAACAGGCAGCAACAAACCACTTCTAGCCAGTGTCCTGTCTAAAGTTTTTGGGGGGTTTCTTTCGGGAGACTTTGGGGTGAGGTCCCAGGGCACACCCCCAATTTCTGCCAGACCTCTGCTGGACACTCCACCCCCACCTTCCTTGGTGCCTGTCCCCTATGTTTACAATTTGGGCTAGATCATTTCTTACCCCAGCTTCCAGAATCCCTTTCCCCAAGATACAGAATCATATCCAATATTCAAGTCTCCCTGGGGCAGATATTTTTAATGAGGGGGTTTGCCGGGTCTCTCCTGCATGGAGAAAAACCATGCAGCTGGACAGTATATTTTAAGTATATGGATAGAGGGGTCACCTTCTTCATTTGTCTTTTCTCCCCATACATCCCACCAGGGAAGAAAATGTAGCTGATTTTTCCTGGGAGCTCTGCACCTGGAACCATAATTAATTTATTATGATTATTATGATGATTATTTATTATTAATGACTATGTGTACAGTTCCTAATGCATGCCTGGTGCTTTACAGAGAAATAAAAAACCATGTTGTTGGCCTTGGGGAGATTTCAATCCAAATGAGAGATAGAAAAGCCAGGGCTATAACTAGCAATGAGCAGGGGGAGGTGATCCGGGAGGAAGGAGGTTTCTGCCAGTGAAAGATCATGCAATAAGTTAGTGTGCATACCCCACGGGCTGGGTCCTTTTCTCAAATTCTGTGTATGTGAATTTTAGATATTAGCGTTTTCCCTCCCTTTTTTCTTTTCTCCCTTCTTAAAAGTTAGTGAAGCAAACAGTTTGAGAGAGCAAAGTCCAGCTGGAGCACAGAAGAGGTGGGGTGGAGGCCGGCGCTAGAAGGTGAGTTTCAAGGCGGGATTTGCAGGAGGATTCAGAGATATGCAATGCTAGCAATAATTAGTATTGTATCGAGCACTTCTGCATTGCTTTGCCTAGAAGCATAAATTATCACATGTAAATTGCTACTCTTCTGATTTTCAGGCTCTTAAGCCATTTCCACAGCTCTAATCGATCCCCTGATGTGTCAGACTGTGAGATTATTCATGTATTGATCAGCTATCAAAAAGTTCTCCTTTGCTTATAGCTTTATCCTTTCTGGGTCTCTGAATTGTGTTGCAAATAAGAATGCTGGGGATACCATGTGCTTTTATGTCAGCCACAGTGAGATGGGGCCCAGCAGTAAACTCGGGATTCAACTTTTGAATATCCCAAAGTTCAGGGGTGTACCTGGATTATTGGTTCAAGCCCCCATCCCTGAAGCTGAGTTTAACTGTCTGCATTGTAAATTGGCTCCCAGTCCAATTATCCAGATAAATACTCTACAGGATTTTTTATTTTTATAACTCTGTGGAGCGAGAGGAGAAAGCTTTAATACCGTGTGCTTCACACGGAATAGCACACTGCTCCATGAATAGTCCCACTGAAGTCAATGAGACCACCTGTGGAGTAAGTGCTCCTCAAGATGAGAACAGATATCAGAAATTGGGCCTTTTATTTTATTTAAAACAGCAACGTGAACAGTGCATTGTATTCATCTATTACACGGCACCACAGACGTGCACAGGGCTGTACAAAGACAAATGAACACAACCCTGCTGCAAAGAGCCTTAACATCTAAGTTAAGGTGCAAACAACAGGAGAAGATGTCAACGCAGGGAGGGAGAGGTGGAAAGGAAGGGCATGCGCTTGTATAGTTGATGGGGAGACTAATGCATGTACCTTAGGGGGTAAAATTATTGTTTATGGGACTCCGGTTTATAAGCCTCTGTGGAGAAGTGGGGTTTGAGAAGAAGGTGGAGGAAGGGGTCCAGGTGGGTTTGCAGGGGGAGGGAAGCATGTGAAAGAAGGGCCAGAGGCAGGTGTGGGGCAAGGATAGAGAAGGGATATTCAGATGAGTAGCTTGGGCTGAGTGAGGATGAGTGGCATTTCTGGCAGAGAATAAAGACAACGACCTAGGGCCTATGTCTCTACTCTATACAGCTGGCATAAGTAAGGACAAAATCACACTGATGGGGGACAGGGGGTCATTGGGATGACAAGACATGGGGAGAAGGTGCCTGGGGAAACATTTCACTGTTTTATACGTTTCCCTGTACAGACATTTGGGTTAAGCCCGGTCTCAAAATCAAGAGAGCAGCCTGAGCCCAGCTCCCTGGGAGGTCAGAGGGCACATGTGAGGCTGCTCGCCAGCCCAGGCAATAAGCTGAGCCAGTGCCCTGGACCCAGCACCCCTGAACTTTGGGGTGTTGCCAATCTGGTTCTGGAGCTGGATGTCCCAGCTTGAGCCCATCTCTAACTGGAACACGTAGAGCTCCGTTGTGCCTGGCTCCTGTACAGAGGGAATTGGTGCGAGAAGCCTCTCTCCACATGCACCTCTGTGCCGAGGCTGGGCACAATCTTTGTGCCTGACCCAAAGTCCCCTGAAGTCAATGGGAATATTTCCAACGAGCTGGATGGGCTTTGGATTGGATGCTGTTTCTCTGAACGCAAGAACCGCTTTGGTTTAGTGCTGTTGGCAGGGCTGGATTCCTCAGAGAGGGTGAGGGTGAGAGAAGACCATAACCTGACCCCGCTTCCTCTGTACCAGCCAACAGAGCTGCAGAGTGTACCCTGCACCTGCTTCCAGGTGGCTGCCTCAGCTGTCCTCCTGAAGCCAGTACTCTTCCAGGAACTCTCTGCTGCAGCTCCACTCTGTCCCCTGAGTGTATCGTGGGTTAAAGCCACTATGCAGCCCTTAGCAAGTAAACAGGAGAGTTCCCATTAATTCTAGCACTGGGGGAGACAATTTCGTCTGCAGCAGGGCCCCATGTGCAACCAGGAACCTCACTGCTGTAAAAAGGCCAAGAGCAAGCGCACAACGAAAGCTGTCATGTGGCTTTTGGCAAGCCCTGTGCTGCTGTTGCTCAGCTCTTATAAGGAATCGAATGTTTTATTTAGTGCTGAACGAACTCTCTTCTAGTTGGATTCAGCATCCTTGGAAGGCAGTTCGTAACATGATCAGCCCTCATTAACAGGGAGCAGAGCATTTGCTGTCCTGCGTGATCTAAGAAGCAGCAATGACACTTGTTGGCCAGAGAGCAGGCGTTATTAATGTACTGGGCACGATACTTAGGTGGTTGCTCTGCCTGAAACTTATTAACTGTCTAATCCAAATCCACAGATGTGCTATAGCAAAAATGGACTTGGGTACAACCTGGCATGGTTGCTTCAGTGTAAACTCTTTTATCTCCAGCTCTGATCTTTTCTGGAGCACGCCTGGTACTTGTAATTGAATACTTTGAATCAAATCCTGTGCTCTTAATTCAGGTAAATCTCCCATTGGCATCAACCATAGTGATGGGTGCAGATCTTCAATGGAATAGAATAGGATTCAATAGGAGGTTCAATTAAGTAAGGGCTTCAGAATTTGGCCCAGTGATGTTAGGGTTTTCAGTTTCCAGCTAGAACTTGGGGGGACACTCAGGAAGCCTGACTCTGACCTCATTCCAGTTTTAAACCAGTGTAAGTCTGTTGAGTTCAATGGAGTTACTCCTAATTTACACCTGTACAATTTGAGAGGAGACTCAAGTCTAGAGGTTACAGTTGGGAGGGTGTTCTACAAACCCAGCTCCACCCAGGTTCATGTGGATTCTCGCTCTCTTCATTTTGATTTGAGATGTGTGTTTGAGTGAGTATGGCAATCAGAGATGGGTCTGCACCCAAATCCAGGTTCTGAGTGCATTGAACCTGAGAAAGGTGTGTATCCAAATTGAGAGCTGAACTTCAGAGCTTGGGCTCGGTTCGACTGAAAATTCAAAGAAACACACAGCCAAAATACAGGCACTTGTCTAGGTTTGGGGTCAAATCCATCCTGCTTTGTTATTTTCCTTCCATCACCGATTGCACAGCAAATAGGAAGAGAGTCCTGTAAAACTCCCAAGAGAGATCACACATGGCTGATATGCTCACAGCAGGATTTCTAAAGCATTGGCCTTTTATGCTATTCACAAGGGGCTGCATGGAGAATGCGTCTGTTTCTGTTTTTCTGCCTACAGTAATATTGGTGGTTAAGTCTGCTTTTTAACACCAGGCTTTTCCTTGGAAATACCCGTTCCAACTGGAAACCAGAGCCCCTGTCAATAGTGAGGTCCACCCAAACAACGTACCATCAATAGAGAGTGTGGAGTGAGTTCCTCTCCTATGTACCGAAAGAATGATCTTCACTTTGTGACCCCCCGCCCCTTTATCTGTTGCTGACAGCAGCATTATGAGCAGCTCTGTTTTTCCCCTCTGAAAGCCACAACGGCTTTAAGCTAGAATAGCAGAAGCGGTGGTGCTCATTTTTTTAAAAAGAGCCTTCTTGAACTTCAGTGTCAAATCCTCATCTGGGGTAAGTCAGTGTCACTGCACTGATGTCAATAGAGCTCTGCTGATTTACACTTTTGATGCAGCCTCCACATCAAACTTTACTGGAAAGAGAGTTCTTAGAGCAAACTTGAGGCGTTTGGACCAATTCCCAGTTAGTTTAATGATGAGCTCATTCTTCTTTCCCCACTTGTATAGAGAGAATGGTGCCAAGGACTGCACAATGTCTAATTAGTAGTCATAAATAATTTGCATGGAGAGCCCAATGACAGATCTGGGAAGAAGAGCCAAGCACCTGCTGCCCAGCCCCCTGCTATAACCACTAGGGCACATCAGCTTTGCAAGAGTTAATCTGTGGCCTTAGCTATACAGTACTATAACTCTTGCACGGCTGTGACTAAGACATTTTAAAATCAGTATAGTATGACATGGCAAACCCCTCAGGTAGACCACCTCGATTCCTTTAAATTCCGCCTAAACCAAGTTAGCTTAAGGCCGTAACTTACTGGATTGGTTTTAAACTGGTTCAGTTACACTGGTGCAAGTTTACTATCGACAAAACCCTGTGCCAACAATGTCGTTCATGCACCTATTTAGGGTGAAATAGTCCCTTATGCAGAGGACAAGCCCAAGGACAATGCATCATTAAAGTCCCATTTAAACCTTAACTTGAGTGTTTACGTGGAATTTGAGAGTTGCATAGATCTTATGCTTACTGTGCACGGGGATGGGAGTGGGGAGTAAGGGGGGGAGGGGATCAACATTGACTAGAATTTTTGTATTTTACATGTAGAAAAAATACGTGTGTGTGTGTGTGTGTGTGTGTGTGTGTGTGTGTGTGTGTGTGTGTAATAACAGATGGGATACTAAGATATCATCATAGGACCACATCCCAGAAGTTAGAAATTAGAATTTAGACCTATTAGATCACCCACTCCATTTCATTGCCAGTGTAACGGTTTAATCCTGCTTTCATCTCCTTTAAAGGTTTTCAGTTGAGTTTCTCACTGTGGTATCAAAAATAGCCTGCTTGCTTTCTCAGAGCCTTGGTGCCGCTGGTCATGTGAAATGAAAAGAAGAGGACTCTGACAGCAGAAAAACTTTTTCATTTTTAAAAATAGGCTCTGCCAGGGCCTCGACCACAGAGCATGTGAACAGCACTGAGATGGTGTGACACGGGATCGGTTTTTTCCAGGAGTTGTGATAGATTTCCCCTGCATCATAATTTCAAGCAGCAACCCACATTCTGAGCTGCCATGTTCCTTTAAGCATGCATCTGTTAGTAAAGCTGAGCAATGCCTTTCCTCCTACAAAAAGAAAAGGAGTACTTGTGGCACCTTAGAGACTAACCAATTTATTTGAGCATGAGCTTTCGTGAGCTACAGCTCACTTCATCAGATGCACTTCCTCCTACAGACTTGGTGCACTGGAATTTTTTAAAGCAAACTATTCTGTTTCTAAAAGGGTTAAGGCAAGGGACCTGCATCTGCATGCTTGTGTGCAGAGGAGCGGTGGGGGGGGGACAAAGTGGGGGGACAAAGGGGACAGGGTTTCAGTGGGGAATTACAGAAGATTATGGGGGTGAGTTGTGCTGGCATGTGTGGGTAGAAAGCTATGTTTGTTCATGGGGATTGGGGAGGGGGCAGGGAAGGGAACAAAGGGGTTAATTTTGACAATGGAAGAGAATGTTCCGAAGGTCATTCATGAAGAAATTCATTATTTCTTTCTGAGATCTCCTGGCTGTACAGCAATAGAGAATTAGAACCCTTACAACATTATTGCCAAACAGTGCAGTCCAATATAGGAAGGTGACGGGCTTGGGACCATTACTGGAGTGGGCTGAACTCCCACGTTGTTTTAGCTGTTTTGGTTTGGTGGGGTTTTTTTTTTGGGGTGGGGGGTATTTTGTTTTTTTGTTTTTTGACGACAGTGAACACATTTGACATTGGACTTTGAGCCAGTTTTAGGATCGGATCCTGCTAATAGTGGAGTCCATGGCAAACCTCCCATTGATTTCAAAGGGACCAGGATCATACCCTTCATCTCAGATAGGCCTGGAGGTCCCATTTTTCAAATTCAGGTGGCCAGTTCCAAATCTGGGAGCTCCTTGATCGCAGCACTTAAACATCAAAGGTGAAATCCTGGTTCCACTGATGTCAATGGGAATTTTGCCATTTCATCCCTAACACCTGTTTTAGACACACAGGCCCAGATGCACAAAGGAATTTAGGCTGCTAACTTCCATTATGGACCTGGGCCAGAGACCCCAATTGAGCAACATACTTAAGAATGTGAAGCATTGGCTACAATGGGATGATTTATATGCTTGAAGCTGAGCAAGTTCCTAAGTACCTTGCAGATTTGGGTCACAGATGACCGTGTGATCATTGGAATGCAAATGCAAATTACAGTAGGGGTTTTAATAAAGGAGCCTCCATTTGAAAATCCTGGCCTGCTTATCTAAATGTATAATCACAGAAATGAAAAATGCAAATGCTCTATTAGGTCATCTTGCCTGTGACCCCATCTGGTGCAGAAATGCTCCCTAGGGTATATGCTCCAGGCCTTTGTCTAGACAAGTACTTTTTAAAAAGGCCCTTGTGTATGCAGAAAGACATCAGCCTTCCTGACCATGCATACAAACTCCATGTCTGTGTGTGTGGATAGGCCTTGTGTGGGCAATGCAGTAAATATTTCAAGCCCTGTGGGCTAGCAGGGCACTCAGATTAGCTTCTATCTCTCGGCATCGATCACAGCTCCTCATATCCAGCTTCAGTTCACAAATCAATATAGCTGATGTGAACTCAGCAGAAATCAATACTTGCTTATTTGGCTCTCCTCCCCACCAATTAAAGGGAGGGATTTTCCTACCCTGTCATTGACAGAAACTCAACCTTTCTTTTTCTTCCCATCTAGGACACCGCGTCACTGAAGGTTTCCCAGGTGGTACGCCCAAGTCCCGCAGTGCTGCGCTCCGTGTATTTGACAAGCTGAGTTTGACACTCAATGTGGCAGAGTGTCAGTTTGTCAAATACCCCAAGTGAGGCATTTGCTTAGCAACACACATCAGCACCAGAGAAGATTGATTATTGCATCTGACTGGGATGGGAGTCTTTTGTTTAATATTTTCTCTCCGCTGAAAATACGAAGTGCTATCTAATAACTGCATACTATGCTTTGCTTCTTGTGCTAGCAGATTTCCTTAGTGCCCCAAATTCAGAAGCATCTGTTTGAACATGCATTTGAATGGTGAGTTTCTACAGAAATAGGGCCAAATTTTTGCTGGCACACTTCCACTGAGTTACACAAGCCGAGAATTTTGCCCAGAATTACTTATTTCTTCAGTCTGTAGCCAAAGTCAATGCTAGTAACTGAAGTAATGGTGGCAACTAGTAGGTGATAAGTTGAGTTGTTGCGTGACAATGGTTTAGTATATTCATCTAAGCTAAAGGTTAAGGCGGTTGTGATCCCACTTACAACAGCACTGCCAATAACAGAGAATTTCTTCATCAGATGTGTTGAAATATTTTTGTATAATCATAGAAGATGGAGAAGAAATAGACTTATAGGACCGTTATTTCATTTCCCCTCTTCTCCACCAGCCAATATAAGGTTATTCCCTGCAGTGAATTCTCCTGTGGTTTGATTAGTCCAATTTTAAATGACTCAAGCGAAGGAGCTTTCATCACTTTGCTTGGAAGTCCTAGTAAAATAAATCTCATGTTTAGGAGAAGCCTCCTTCTCTTCAGCCAGTTACTCCCAGTAAGATCTCCTAGCAGTGTTACCTATTATATTTGCTGTACCTCTGCTATTGTATTGAAGCTATACTAAGCCAGCTCAGATGAAGAAGACCTATTTATTGGCCTACATTTTCAAAAGTAACCTGTGATTTTGTGATTTAGCCCACGAAAGCTTATGCCCAAATAAATTTGTTAGTCTCTAAGGTGCCACAAATACTCCTCGTATTTTTTGCTGATACAGTCTAACACGGCTACCACTCTGAAACTTGTGATTTTGGGTGAGACATCATAAAGAGGTCTGATTTTCAGAGGTTGAGGTGCTCCACATATTTAGAAAAATCAGGTCCCTTTATGGTGTCTCCAGTTGGACACTCAAAAACTGAGCCAGAACCCAAAATCCCTTTTGAAAATTCAGGCCATTGTTACTTTGCTAGTGTAAAGGGCTTGTCAGAAAACCCTTCTCACTGTTACTGGAGCAGTATCAGCAGCCAATTGTGCAATTAAGTTATATATATATATATATATATATATGATACAGATTTCATCCTTAACTCTCCTTTTTTCTTTAGATTACAACCATTTATTGTAAAATGTTCTGGAGATGCTGGGCTTTGTATGAAGAATGCTATCTGTAAATAAATGGTATTGCCTTTCTAAGTGAATAGCATGCTTCTGATCATCTACATAATAGATCTGCAGTGTGCACCTATATGAGCAAACATGGCCGTAGTCATTCTGACTCAAACTGTCCCTCCTGCGTTCTCTTTCCAGTCCCTAAAGTTGATTCATAGTCTAGACAGTACTCTCATCTTAATAATTGTTTTTATCTGTGCATTCAGTTTTAAAAGAGTACAAGGTCCATTGTTCTGTCTGACTTTCCATCTCTGATAATCCATAGTGTAACTGAGGCATATATTCTCTCTAAACCCTTTCTGTCTCTGGTCAGAAGCCATTGGGTCAGATCCTCAGCTCTTGTAAATGGGCCTGCTCCCGCCACGTCAATGGAGCTACACCTTTTGACACCAGCTGAAGACACGTCTCAGGGTCCATTTTAAGTCCCTCACATCCTCTTTTTCCAGTAGTTTACCTCAGTCTTTATTCTTACTACTTTGTCTCTCCCCTCCTCTTCTGAAATGTCTAGGAGCAGATCCTTCAGTTTCTTCCAGGCCCAGGGAGGAAGCAAGGTTAATCTCTCCATCTTCGACAAACTCTGAAGGAAGAGAATTAACCCCTCATTTTGGTGGAACAAATCCTGCTGTTTCTGGGGCATCTTTCCTTTCAATTCCCATCAAGATCTGCAGCTTCTCACCACCTCTGAAAATCAGGATCAGGAAAGACACAAAAAAGCCAGTGCACCCAAATTAGCAACCCCCCTCTGAAAATACTGTCTTAAATGTCTGCACATCACAACCCCACTTTGCCTCATAGTTCTCTGACAGACCCATGAATATAGTCTGCCCCGAATCCCACCCTTGCAGTGGGACTGATATCAAGTCAATGGTGTTGCCCAGATGCAACCAAAGGCAGAATTTGGTTCATGACACTTTAACTGCTGCTGCCAAGTATTGTGTGTCTTGTACACAGTGCAGTTTCACAGAGGAAGCTGCGGTTTTTCTCTCCACTTTGGCTCAGATTCTGGAGTTGACTGTATTAATTAGATCATCAGGTGAGTGATCAGTGCAAAGAAAGGAGAAGTTCCCCCATTATCTGTAGGGACACCCCTCCCCGCCCAGCCACTTCCTCTCTGCAAAGCCTTCTGACTTTCAAGGGAAAATGTCCTTTGTTCTGGCTGGCTTCTCCCTCCCAGAAATCACATGCCCACTGCATAGAGGGAAGCAGCACTATAAGGCCAGAAAGGAAGCTGCTTGGTGCTTTTGGGGACCAAAGCATAGGCTAAGGGCACCCCTGGGACTGCTGGAACATGTGGCAGCCAGGGACAATCAGAGCACAGATCCACTCCAGCCATGCCTGCTCTGGGCCTGTCTCAGCCCCGCTTCAGCTTCTTCCTCCACTCTGCTCCCGCCCCATCCTTTGCACCATGGCTTCTGCAGAGGCAGCACAGAGCTGATGCTTTTTGCTGGGGGGGGGGGAATCAAAACTGTGGGCTGCATGGTTACCGAGGAAGCACGGGCAGGCCCCGAGAGCTATTAAACAATAAGAGGTTTATTTCTTTGCGAGTGGCACAGAACTACACCCTGACACAGCAAGCAGAGATTGTCCCCCTTAGCTGTAATACTGTTTAAATGGAATCAGACCCTTCCAATTGCTTCAACCCTCATAAGGGATGTGCAAACTGCCCTACTGGAACAGAACCGTGAGCTGTTTAGTCCATTACTCTGTCTCTGATGGTGGCCAGAAACTTTAGAGGCAGTGTTAAGCACCCAGAGTACTGTTCCAGGGAAAGTGGGAGAAAAGATATTTCTTCCTGTCCCTGCCTGTTGATCAATTAATGCCCTGACACATGAGGACTGACAGCCCCAGAAATGTTGCACTTGCTATCACCACCGCAGATGCTATTGTTAGCTATAAAAGCACCTAAGGCACTTGTTTCACATAAGAGTAGCACATAAGTAATGTCAAGCCACAGGCTAGTGTGGGAGGCAGGATGGAAGGGGGCAGAGTCTGAAGCACCTTCATGTGCTCAGGCAGATTGTTGGTGAGCAGCTCAGCGTGTAAAGCCGAGTAAACAAACAGAAGAGACACAGAGACAAAGCGATTGAGTCAAGAGCGTAATGCAGGAAGCAGCACATCTGGCTTTGACAGGGAGCTAAGAACAGGGCTTCACACACCTTTCCAGGAAGGAATGTTCCTCCCATTTGGTTTTTGCCAGAGATCTTTACACTCACTGGGGCAGACTAAAGGAGTAACTGCAGATAAGGGAGGCAGTCCATTTATACATTACACTACAAAAGTTGCCAACTCTCATTACTTTTTTTGGACCCCATTTCTTAGAACCCCAGCTCCCGGAATCAAGTGATTCTGCTTTCATTACCAAAAGTAAGTTTTAGCCTCCCTGGTCATGGAGAAAAGCTTGCCCAACATGAAGTGAGTGCACTCTGAATGCTCAGAAACCAGAAGGCAGATAAAAAGAACCCAAAATCAACTATTTGTAATATATATATATATATATATATATTATATATATATATATTTTAAGCCCATTTCATGTTTTTTTGATGCTTCAAGCTGGCAGTACTGCTTCGGCATGTGAGATGCTGGCAAAGTGGCTCAAACATCTCTAGTCTCAAGGATCCAGCAGGTTTATTTAAAACAATAAACCCACCAGAAAGGCCTAGAACAAACAGGCCCCTAACGTCTCAGGGCACAATGGGCCAGTGGAAGGGTGTCCTTGCTTCTCCATAAGAAACAAGCAGAGTAGCTTGGCTTTAGGCTAATAACCTAAGGCCCTTCCTTCATAACTTACTAAACCTGTTCCTTTCTCATAGGCCTGTCATGAACAACCTCCCCTCCCCCTGATTACTTCCATGACAAGGGTCAGTGTCTACTCTACCCCATGGTTTCAGGGCCTGACAGAACCTCAAAGCAGAGTGGAGAGAAATCTGTTTGAATTTTTGCTTCAGAGGATCTCATTTCCCATTCTGAGCTTCCTCTTTTTTTCCTATCACAGGCTAGCAAATGACTCTACTCCTTTCTCCGAAAACCTCTTCTTACTCAATCTGTCCTGCAAAACCTATCCCCTGCCTTGCCTCATCTTTTATGGCCTCACCCCACCAAGCCCAGCTGAAGTTGATTGCAGCACAACTCTACTGCAGCATCTAACCCCTTCCCTGCCTGAGTAGATGAGGCAGAAAGGGGAGGCGGGGGTAACACAGACTGACTGATGATCCAGGTCTCTTTATTAACCCTTAGAAAATTGCCCATTTCCCAGGTACAGAGCCCATGAATGACAGATAAGCCAAGTTGTGCAGACCAGATCCACACTCCAATCAGAAGTAGAAGATCCCCAGTGAGCTCTGGGGTGTGCAGAACTGGGGTTCTGAGTTGGCCAGCTGTAGGGATGGGCCTGGGTCACAAAGGACCTGAATTGTCCATAAATTTGTGACAAAAGTTGGGGTGGGCAGGTAGGATTTGGTGTTCTAGTCCATCTGTACTGAGCGCTGACTGTTTCCACGGGCATTTCTGTGGTCAGGCTGGGGAATTAGTGGGGAAACGTTTCTGATAGTTGTGCAGTGGGGGAGAACAGCAGCCCAAGAGGGAAAGATATTGCTTTGGTACAGAGGAAGCTTTGCTGGGTAGTGATGCAGTCTAGCAACTCACCAGTGCCATCCATAGCTTGTCTCCTCTCTGTATCCCCCACAAGTGACCTTGCAGCTAATTGACCCATGAAAGCAGGCAAAGCAATAGGGCCTGTTTGTTGCAAGAAGCAGTAAGGCATCATAGGGATGACCCAGAGGAGCTGGAAGCAGATATAGTAAATAGGTGAGCCTCTTGGGGATACAGTGTTACCAACTCTCATGACTCTCATCGGTGTCTTTCTTAAAGATCCAGCTTCTGGAGTCAAGTGGTTGCATGAGAATCTCAGCTTTCATTTTTTTAAAAAGAGTAAGTTTCTAGTCCTCATGGTTACAGAGAAACCTTGAACACTTGAACCCTAAAGGTTCAAAAGGCAGACAACACATAAAAGGAACTCAAAATATATTATCTAAAAAAAATCTCATGTTTTTAAGATGGTCTGATTTTTGGGGCCTGACATAATTATTGAATGCTTGGGTTTGGTAATACTGGGATACAGCAAATCAAACATAAGGAGCAGCTTTGCAGAATCAGCACCGGCTGGCACAGTTTGGTTACAACATCTAAGGTTCAAGCATAGTAATTGCACACACAGGTCAATTGGATCCTAGCACATTTTTACAGGGCTCTTCTCACTCACAGAGTCTTTGGAGTGCAAAAAGGCCTTGGGACTGAATGAGGAGCACATTGTATGTTGACTGAAGTTGAAAGAAGTCAAGCAAATAAAGTGGAGTCTTTATTCTAGCCACATAAAAGTATATTTGAGCTACTGCCCTAGCAGAGAAAGACTCCATATCCCGCTCGGACACTTTGACATGTATTTGGTAGTAGTCTGTTATGATTATTTAACATACTTAGGTATTGAATAATAAAAGCAACATGAACAGGCCTCGTCCTTTGGCAGTGGTTGCACTTCTGTCTGCCAATAGCAATGCCCATTGGGAGTTCTGATTGAGAAACAGAGGACGGTGTGACTGCCCTCTTTAGGGATGAATAGGTAATGTTCTATCACTCTTGGGCCTTTCTGCTGGCACTATCAATTCATTTATTTACCATATTCATTTCTAAGGCACTGATCAGCATAGTATCTGGGCACAATTCACATAATTTAGTTAAGTTGATGTAACACTTCCAAGTGTATTTTTCCTCTGCTCGCCCCTTCATCCATTGTTCTTGAGATTGTCAGTTGTGTTGCTGAATTTTGTGATGTCCCCCTGGATTTAAACCAGTGTCCTTGAAGTGAAAAGCTCATTACTTGCACTGCCAATTCCCTGCATCACTCATGCCCCTTTAATGTCATTTTTATAAGGGTGATGAAAGAGGCTATTGTTCAAACTTCCAGGTCAAGATTAGATGTATGGCAAAACAGGGACTCCTAGTGGCCTGGACAACAAAAGGTACTTCAGGG